TAGACCTGTGTAATGATGGAGAATTATTTCTCTAAGACAATTTAACCATGTAGTTTCTGATATGGAAACATTTTCCTCTGCTATATGCCATACACATCTTTGTTCAGTTAAAATGAATTAAAATTAATTCATCTTTTAGAGATTTGTGACATCCTTCAAAATAGCAGAACATATTCTAAGGAATGGCAAAAGCAGACTGAGAAATCACTGATTTGAATAATAATGGCAGTATATGCCTTTAAAAAAATCTAGAAAGGCAGAATTCATTCTTAATTTCTCAGAGCTTTTGATACCCAGATTTTCTCCACTAACTCTTGTAAGAGTCCATATTTATATGTCCAATTTTTTAAAAGGCATGTATCTATTTAGTCATTAAGTTTCAGGTTCTTAAACACTCACAGGGACAGAGCAATAAATCTTCCCTCGGAGAACACAGCCTGAGAGGGAGAAGTTAGGTGAAGTAAAGAGCCACAGAACTGCTATTTATGGAGCATGGCTTCAGAGTCTGGGTCTTTCTGATTTCACAACATATGTAATTATGCGATTCACTGCAGGCGCTCTAATGCTCAGTCCCACTGCCAAGTCAGCTATTCACATACTTTTTGGATATGGCATCAATTAAACTTGAGTTGTGTTCCTTATGACGACCAAATTAATGGTTTGACAGCAGCTTTCTCAATAAACACTGCAAACTGGCCACATTCGAAGGTTTTAAAAACCATTTCTTTTTTGCTCAAAATTCTGACAAACATGTCTCAAGTAAGACCGGGAACAACTTCATTATCCTCCCAACACTTAATGCCTTTTGTAAAGAAGACTGTTTAATAAATGTTTGCCATGTTTTTGTAACTAAATTATTTCAGTTGGTCACAGGTTCCAGTCTTCAGCAAGACACTTGTGTTATGAGAGATAAAAACATGAAAAAGGAAATATATTGCAGAAATCAAAAACCTTATCTACTTCTAGACTCTCTCTCTTTGCCATAATTCATTCAAGAAGGCCCCAAGAATAATTTTTGATGTAAACGCAGCTACAAACATACATCACTATGCTGATAAAAATCACAGGCTAAACTTATGAAATATAGTGACTTTCATTTCTTTTAGTGCTGTTAAAATAACTTTTTTCTAAGGTTCAACAGACACAAAAGATAAAAAGGTTACCATTAATCCTTTAAAAAAAGAAGCCGCTCAGTAGATTAATTCCGTGGTCTGATGATGGTCTTGAAGATGAACTTTTTATAGATTAACTCACTGAATTAATTTGATGAAGATACTGGAAATCATAAAAAAAAAAACCCAAAAAACAAACACACCAGCATCAAGCTGATTCATTTAATATGTCTTTGTTTGGGCACTTTACAACATAAATTATGCTGAGTAACTGTGGGTTTCTAAATTCTGGCCTCATTAAGTTCAGCTTTGAGACAACACTGTGCTAGGGATTAAGGATACAGAAACCAGGTCCTGGGTCAATACGTTTAGCATGGAGATGGGGTGGGAGAGAGGGGCAAACCCCAAACAGATAAATACAGCACTGTGTGAGGTGCTGTGTTGTGTGCAAATTCCTGGGGGTAAAGTTACAGAGGGGAACCCTGACATTTGGGCTGGATCTTGAAAAATGGGTGGCTGGGCATGGGAAAATGGAGGTGTCCGTAAGTTAGAGGGTCAGGATGAAGGTGTACTCCAGGCAGAAGCACAGAATTTGAGGCATGTTGTGTAAAAGTAGTTCACAGTGACTACAGCCAAGTTCAGGATGAGACGTTATGGGCTATGAGCCTGGAGTGGTCAATGTCTGTAAAGGCTATGCTGAGGAGTCTGAGTTTCATTCTGTAAGCCTGTAACTCTTAAGAACTTCTTTAGTGATTTGGAATATAAGGAAGCAAAACCCAAAAAACAGAAAACAGAAAACAAACAAACAAACAACAAACGAAAAACAAAAACCAATCAGAACAGCACAAAGAAAAAATCCTATAAAATGAAGATAGTATAAGGAGCCTCTGGGACAACTTCAAGTGTATCAACATTTGTATTATGGGGATGCCAGAAGGAGAAGAGAGCAAGAAATTGAAAACCTTTTTGAAAAAAATGACAGAAAACTTCCCTAACCTGGTGAAGGAAATAGACATGAAAGTCCAGGAAGTGCAGAGAATCCCAAACAAGATGAACCCAAAGAGGCCCATACCAAGGCACATCATAATTAAAATGCAAAAAGTTAAAGACAAAGAGAGAATCTTAAAAGCAGCAAGAGAAAAGCAGTTGGTTACCTACAAATGAGCTCCCATAAGACTCGCAATTAATTTCTCAACAGAAATTCTGTGGGCTAGAAGGGACTGGCAAGAAATATTCAAAGTGATGAAAAAGAAGGACCTGCAACCAAGATTATTTTACCCAGCAAAGCTATCATTTCGAATCAAAGGACAGATAAAGAGCTTTACCAGATGCAGACAAGAAAAAGTGACAGGAGTTCATCACCACCAAACCAGTAATAAATGAAATGTTAAAGGGTCTTCTTTAAGAAAAAGAAGTAAAAAAGAAGCTAAAAAATATGAACAATAAAATGGCAATAAATACACATCTATCAACAATTAAATCTAAAAACCAAAATAAACAAACAAGCAGAACAGAAACAGACTCATAGATACAGAGAACATTTTGACGGCTGCCAGATGGGAGACAGGTTAGGGGTATGAGTGAAAAAGGTGAACAGATTAAGAAGTACAGCATAGGGAATATAGTCAATAATATTCTAATAACTATGTATGGTGTCAGAAGGGTACACAACTTATCAGGATGATCACACTTAGTAAGTTATATAGTGTCTAATCTCTAGGGTGTACACCTGAAACAAATATAATATTGTATGTCAACTATAAATGAAAAATAAAAGATGACTCAAAATGTTTATCAGTTGACTTTTTAAATGCAGAATCCCCAGTTAGAAAAATGTAGAGCTCCTTTGGTTGAAGGGGAAGGCTTAAACGCCCAACCCTGCCTCCCCGTCCCCCGCCCAACATGCACGTGTGCATCAATGCACGCCCCTGAGGTCCCCTGAGAACCTAGAGCTCTCAGAAGATGGTTGAAAAGCACAGTGGTAGGCAAAACCAGGGCGGAGACTTAGGCAAGTGTATTACCGTGGCAGTGTGCTGCTTTGTTCAGGAAAAGTGTCATAATTTCTAGGTCTCTGGACCCAGAGTGAGAGAGGGGGAAACCTTTGTAAGATCCACATGTACAGTTTCATACAGAATCACTCAGTAGTTCTGAAAATAAGACAAAAGATTATCCTGCTGGAATGTCAATACTGAAATGGTGAGGCCCACATCTGCTCTGAAGCTCCAAAGCTTGGAACCTGGCCTCACTCACAGAGATGTACTTACTTCTTGACTGAATGATCCCAAGAGGTAACTGGGAGGTAGTAACTGTGCATCCTTTCTTCATACCCCACTAGCTGTGTGTGTTATATCCTTCACCTTTCAGGGCCTGAATCAGTCTTCCTTGGCACAGTGAGTGTCTGGAGGTGAGTGTCCGGAGGCAAGTGTAAGGGAAACCTGAATACTCTTTCTAGTTCTTTCCCTAACTTTCCCACTCCAGCTTATCCCTTTATGCAACATGTATGCGATTGTCTTTCATTTCTCAGACACTTGTCGAATTTATAAAATGTTACTTTTCAATGCATCATGAGTTCCTGGGAAGAAAGATGCCAGAAAAATGACATCTTTATTGACCAACAAGCTGGAGCAAGAGGGATTAGGAAGATGTTTATGTAAAGGCAGAAGGAACCTGGCAGCCTTGGGACAAGGGGCCCAGAGCAACGGGCAATAGTCTCGCCAGCCCCTTCCAGCAGCCATCGCAGAGCCAAGGCCTCGCTGGGATGACAGGAATGGTGGGGAGGGGTGGACTTGGCCTCCCTCCTTGCCAGCGTGGCATGTGCCCAGTCTGTAGGCCTCCTGCAGGGCCTCTGTGCTCTTTAGGCCCTGGTGTAGTCAATATTATCTCAAAAACTTGAACCATATTATAAACACTTGCTGGCCTTTACATCTCTTATTCCTTAAAACACTTTTTCTCAAGTTAGTGGACACTGGAAAAAAGGGATTAACAAAAATTAGATGCTCAAGTTGTACTCCAAGTTACCAAATCAGAACCTACTGGGGCGGGCTGTGGGCAACTGCATTTTAAATAAGCTCCACAGGCAGTGCTGATATGAACTGGACTCAGAACCACTGTCTCACAGCCTTCTCTAGTCGACTAATGGATCCTTATATAGTTTGAACTTTTTTCTTCCATGGAGGAATTTCAGTGTGATCTGTGTCCTTTCTGCCCCTCGATGCAACTGAAGTCCTAAAAATGATTGATCTAACTGCTATACTCAATTACTTAACTGCAAAAATATACTATGCCAAAATATACAACCAGACTGTATCTACTTTCATAATTTAAGCAGAGGACTGCCAACCCGCAGCGATCTCTTCTGCAGGACCAGGCAGGAGTTTAATTACGAGCTGGTAGGTCGAGCAACTGCCAATAATCTGGAGGGTGTTGACACTTCCAGCATGATGGATATCTAAATCTAGTCTTCGGCTGACACAGGAAATCCGCCCCCCCCTCCAGCTTCCCTCGGTCTGGCACGGGAGGAAGGCAGGTCCAGGTCTAACTGGCCAAGTCCCCCAAAAGGGAAGAGGAAGGGAGCACAGAGTGAGGTGAGGACTCTGGTGACTGCAAATTCTCAGCAGCAATCTGCCCTCCTCCCCCTGCCCCCAGGGCAAGGCTGCTGGGGTCAGGAGCTGTGAGGTTCTCTGCTGCCATCAAGACTGAGCAGGATGGGGACCCATGTCAGGCTCTGGGCACCATAATACAATCCCCTTTGATTAAAAGAAATTTCTGGTAATGAATTAAACAGACCCAAGGAAAAAAGGACACGGTGGTAATATATTCTCCTGGCACCCAGCACACAGGAGGGGAGAGGGGGGAGAGAGAAAGACATAAATAAACGGGACTACTCACTGGGGCTTTTTTCTTCAGCAAGGTCACAGGCACAGAGCAGGTCAGAATCGATCGAGATGGGTTTCTGCTTAATCCAAAACTTAGTGCTGGCTTTCTGATTCGTAACAGGGTCTATCTCTACTTTGTCTCCAGAGATACCTGTAAGGCCAAGGGGAGGACAAAAAAAGAAGCCACAAGAAGTGGAAGGTGTAAGTGATTTCAGTGTAATCATTTGACCTGCTTTGTAAATCATAAATTGGATGAACATCGGCTCTTTCCTAGGGCTTTGGGGAATGCCATGGGCTTAACGCAGGCACAAGGAGACTCCAGACGGCACACAGAAGTTGCACACTCCAGTTTCTCAGGGGGCGGGGGGGTGGGGGGGGTCAGGTAAGGTAGTCAACAACCAAAAAGGTATTAAGAAATATGCCTTCTTAGACATAACAGAGATACAATATAGAGTTTGCTTACATTGTGTTAATCCTATATTACCTTTATAATTAAACTATAACATAAGGTTCATTTAAAAACCAATTATGGTCAGAGGGCTTTTTTTGCTGTTGTTGCTTTAGAATAAGATCTGCGTTGGACAGGTAAATCTACCAATGAGGAGTTTCTGATCTGGAAAAATCTTACAAACTAAAAATAGGAAAAATATGTCTTCCCTTCTCTGACATTAAATAATGAGCCAAGCTATATTTAAAGGAAGTCCCTGGAGGATCAAAGAGTCCTTCGCATAGAACCTTCTGAGTTGAAGTCCCGGTGCCTGGCTTCAGGCTGTGGAGGTCACTTCCCCATGGAGGGAGAGACTGCGGTGGACGTGAGCTTTATGCAACAAAGACTTTATAACAGGAATCTACAATAGGATGCCACGTAACCGGTGCTTCAGGTTTCATTTTCAGAGCTCTGGGAGACCGACACACTGCACAGTGATTGGGAGCAAAGGTGTTAGGAGAACAAAGGCAGCGCCCAGCGCGGACGGTGTCCTGGGATACCTGTGCCAATGCGCAGCTCTCCTGGTGTCACCAGGCAGTGGATGCTCAGCCTGACACGCAGATCCTGGGCTAGATGCTCTCTTTTTCCTTTTCTGCTAAAAATTGAGGATTTCTGCTCATGAAGTGAGACAAAAACCTTCAATATGCCTTCCAGAGTGGGCCCCAGATGGAATCTTGAAAGTAATTAATTTTCAGGCCATAGTTTAAAGGTCAGGGTCAAAGTGAAAAGAGCAAAATGAAGTAAAAATATAAAAAATAAAACAATCAAATGTACATACTATAACAGAATGCACAATCAGAGTTGATATACTTCATTCTATGGATCACCCTCAGAAATTTTTCAATACAATGAGGGAAAACTTAGTAAGCCAGAAGAAAAAACAGATAAAAGAAACAGCTCAATTAAAACAAGAACAACAGCCCTGGCTGGCACGGCTCAATGGATTGAGTGCCAGCCCGTGAACTGAAAGGTTGCTGGTTCGAGTCCCAGTCAGGGCACATGCCTGGGTTGTGGGCCAGGTCCCCAGTTGGGGGCGTGTGAGAGGCAGCTCAAACACATTGATATTTCTCTCCCTCTCTTTCTCCCTCCCTTCCCCTCTCTCTAAAAATAAATAAAATCTTTACAACAACAACAACAACAAAAGCACAACCCCCCCGACAATAACCATAGTCTGAGAGCAAATTTAAAATTAAAAAAGAAAACATATACAAAGTTCTAGTGATTAGGTGTGCCACACACTCCACGTGGTTCTATTTTATGTTAGAAATAAAGAAATCCCAAATACAGCCAGACAAAGGCAGGAGACCACAGACAAGACGACACTGGAGTCTCGTCTGCTGTCTTTGGAGGAGACAATGCAGCACGGTTACTTAACCCTGATCGTTGCTCTGTGGTCTTTGGAAAAGACGAACAATTGGTATTTTTTTATTAATTGAATGCTGGAATTTATCATTAGGCATATTTCAAGAGCACCATATTTCAATTAGGCATAATGTCATAAGTCCAATTGACTCTGGACGTTTGGGTCTAGATGATTTCAGGAGGGCGAGAATGTATCAGGAGACCAATTTTATTACATTTCACTTAAAATAGATTACAATCACCCAGTTACACTCTTCCCTCCAATTTGGTCATTAATTGTTAAAGGTCTGGACATGTCTACAGTTCCCTGAAAGAAGGAAAGTACTTACACCGTCATTGTTGGTAGCAAGTGGTTTGTTTTTCTTTTTGTTCCCTCTCCTTCTGCTTCTTATTTTGACATTTATAAAAGTCAAAATGAGCAGAGCAAAATAAATGTGCATATCTCTTATGTGGAATAGATCCTGCCCACATTTCTTCCTCAGAGAGAGAGGGGAAAAAATCATCACCGGAGAGACACGGTTTTAAAATTTTGTTCTGCGGCCCTGCAAGTCCTGAAGCCGTAGTCAGTCAATATTGTTAATGTACCTTGTTAATTTGATAGGATTTGTCAGGTAACTCCACTGGAAAATTATATAAAACTGTTCCAGATGAAAAGATGATAGTGACATGAATTAAAGTGATAGAACAACAGTGGAATATAAACCAGAAATGACACCCAAAGTGGCTGTTGATTTATTGCTGTACTGAGTTTGGTTCTGGGCTCCCATGTATATTAGTGCTACAAATCTGGGTCCATTTAGCAGAGGGATGCTCATACATACATCACCAGCTCCTGCTCCAAGCCAAGGTCACTCCCCATTGCATCAATCTTTTCAACAGAGCCTACTTCACAAAGCAGGACTTTTGTAACCATCTCAGATGTAACAGACTCTCGTCCTCTTTCATCTTTCTTTTATCATGTAAAGTATACTTTAACTTCTATTATTTTTATCTGCAAATTGCTACTGTATAGTTCATCAATTACAGACTGTATCTCTGCATCAATTGCCTAAGCTCTGCATGGCCACCAGAACACTTTCCCAATGACGTCCTTTGCTGGGGTAATTGTGCAGTCACTGTTCACAGAGGAGAACCCCGAGTCTGGGGTTTGGGGATGAAGCCGTGGGAGATGAATGCATTACGTTCAAGATGGGCAGGCAGGTGGAACACCATTTAAACAACTGGTGTGTTCCAAAAAACTTGTGCGTAAATCAGATTTTTTTTCTGAATCAAATCACATTCCCCACTGACTTCTAGTTCCAGAGATACTTTATCTTCATTTTGGATTGATCTGTAATTGGCAGGGGCCCTCAACACTTAGTTTTAAGTTTCTCTGCCCTGCAGGCTTTCAGTCAAGTAGTTAATGATCTGTAAAACACTTGCCTGCCTAGAGGAGTCACTATTTAAAGGGACCTGTAGGGGAATGTGTCCTGATGGGAAAAATCCTTTTGTACATTAAGTAATCTCATCCTACTTGAGATGTGTGTGAGTCTCAGCTTCTTAGAGCAGGGCATGTGGCCCCCCAGGATCCTACGCGCTCTTGCTGGAGAAGTGGCAGCCCTCTGCCTCTAGTCCGGGGGGCTAGTCGAGCAGTCCACGGCAGGAGCCCAGGTTCCTGAGCAGGCTCAGACCCCACTGGTAAAGAGAGAGCCCGCAGAATCCAGCCTGGAAGCAGAGACCTCTTCTGTCCCTCACCTGGGAGTCTGAGGTCTCCTTCTTGGCTGGACGGAGGGAGCAGCACGGTGGAGAGGAGACCAATTTCAAGGCTGGCGCCACCATCCAGGCCAGGCCTGGGGTAAAGAGGAGTGAACATTAACTGGCACACACTATGTGCCAGCATGGTTAGAAATCTTTTGTGTGCATTGACTCAAATCTCACAGCCATGCCAAGTAGGTTACTATGTTTATCTCTGTTTTATAGATGAGGAAATTGAAACACAGGGAGGTTAAGTAACTTGCCCAAGATCACACAGCTAAAAAGTGGCAAAGCTGGAATTTGAGAAAGCCAGGCAATCTGGTCCCAGAGTGTGTCCTCTCAGCCACAACACTATTCTGCAAGAACTGTGCTAGGTGTTTTACAAAACGCACCCTAGGAGGGGTAAGGTGCTTGTCTAAGTTTGCAGAGCTTTTAAGTGGAAAAGCCATTTTCACACCCCTAGCTCTTTGGCTCCCCAACATGGTACTGTGCTCTGCTCTGCACAGGCTCATTCCACCAAGTAAAGGGGCCCCAGTAAGGAACTCTGCCCACCCGGTCTTTAGTATCTTCTCTCAATTTTCAATAAGGAACATATAAATATTCAAATGTGACAACAGATGCACACCTATTTTTGTTTATACATGGGACGCTGGAGCATGAAACCCTATCAATATTCTTTTTTTTGGCCACTGAGCATGGCTTTGATTTCCCTGGCTAAAGTTTCAGTATAAAGTCACTGACAGAAAGGCAGAGGCATTTCTTCAAGGGTCCCCATACACTATTTTTTAAGTAATTCAAACCCTAAACATACGTCTAAGAAAACAAGGGAAGCTGGCTTTTGTTAAGTTTATTTTTCTCCAACTTAAATGGACAACAATAGAGGATTAGTTAATCCAGCCATGACGGAATACAGCAGGGCCATGAAAAATTATGTGTGAGAAAAGCTTTGACTTGGAAAAACTCTTATGTTATGTGAAAAGAACAAAAAAATATTTAGGGAGAAGAGATGAAAAGAATATGCTCCAAACTGGTCAGTGGTTAACTCTGGCTAGTGGGACTGCGGCCTTTCCTCTTCTGTACTTTTCCAAAAGAAAAATTTCACCCCAAATAAATCCAAACCTTTTTGAAAGCTGAGTTTTGTTGTTGTTTCTGCTTCAGAAGTTAGTATGGCTGAGTTCTGTAATGGGTAACCACGAAAAGGGATCCTACCTGAAGGTTACGTCCACCTAGCAGTTCTCAGGTGGCCGAAAGCCTGGGCTGCTGGGAAGGGCTGCGCGGGCTGCGCGGCCAACATGGCGCCACCTTCCCCCGGTGCCCGGCAGGCCCGACCTGCCGGCGATGGCCGCTCAGGAGAAAGAGCACGGGGGCTGGCCCACAGCTCCTCGGAAACAAGGGAGGCCATTTGTCTCCTTCAGCAGGTCTCCTCCCCCACGCACTTACCCACAGCCACCTGTCATGACCTTTTCATGCTCCCACTTCTGACAGCTTCCAGATACCGTGAGTCCAACTTCACTGGAAGCAAACTATCACACCGCCTGTCAAAGGCAGAAAACACTGCCTGACTGCTG